TATTAATTTAAAATAACTTATAAGTGGCTTATATCTAAATAAGGAATATTTTTTAAAGGGGTCTAAATCGTATTCGCGGGAGCTTTGCCCCCACCTCCACCATCCCACATTGTTACGCCACTGTACATGGGCCCTATATATTTGGTAGCACACCCACCAATATGTACCAAAGTTGCGTCACTGACTGTATATAATATAGTCTGTATAAAATAAAAATTCTATTTTAAATCAAGGAGCCAATTATAGGTCTTCGGATGGTTACATTTTGTAATCCACGGGGTTATCTATCACTTATTTCAATAAACTAATATAAATTATTATATAKTGTACACATATATGTATTTCAAAATAGCAACTATTCACAAAATTATAAAAAATTATAAACAAATTAAATAAAAATTTTGGTGGAAAAAATAGACAAGTAAGAGGTACACGATATCTAATTTTTCCAATTGGTTGAATTGGACCTAATATAAGTACCTAACCTATATTTCATAAATTCTGGAAAAATAACGGAAGATCACCATAATTGGTGCTTACGCTTAACAGGTTAATCAACCAATAGTGTATATAATTGTCTAATATCATAACTTGCAGCGTCATTAAGGAGATGGATTTATACAAATAACTATAAAAYCTCGTATAAAACTAATAAATATCAAAAAAAGAAAAATTATTCGAGAAAAATGTATCAATAATGCTCAAATAATAAAAACAAATTGTAAATGACATRACAAAGATAATCTATGAGTAAAATTGTATTTCAATATTACCGATATACAAACACATGCCTAGCATATAAGCTATTTTTTTTAATTCACATTATTTATTTTGTATAATTATAAATTCAGTGTTAATTATACATTATARTATATATGTTCATGTCTAACCAATAAATCATAATAGTTTTAATTTAATATTGCACATCATTGAATTATGGAAACGATATGCAATATAATTATGAAGTTTATCTAGGTATCCAAAAGTATAGATACTATTAAAAATTAATTCGACTCCGATACCATAAAATCTGACTAAAAAAAAGTCAGTATTAAATGTTTGACTAACATCAATTTATCTTTGGTAATCATCAATAATAAATTGAATAGTTGAAATTTGTATTATGCATGTTCATAGTGTTCGTCCACGTTACGGAAACACGATGTAGACAACACATAAGTGACAACGTCTATTTAAGTATCTTAAAGCGCTTAGTTCGTACTGTTCGTAGACAATATTATTCAACTAAGATAAATATTCTTTTAAAAAATGTAGCTACCTATACTCAAAGAGTATGAAGTGCGATTCACAAACACGGTTTTACGATAAGTAACAAATATAAAGCGATCTTAAAAACGACGAAGTAAAATAAACAACCCGTGAAGTACATAATGTAATTAACATAAGAAGAATTGAACTTAGATTGACAAAATGACGAATATGGAATCGCGGAGACACTAGATACTTGATTATGCATTTTAAATGAGTCGACTAGGTACGTGATGATAGCATTCTTTTTCACAGTTATTATGAGGTTTCATGCCAACTACAGACAACAAAATTACTTGCGTACCTAGTTGGCAAAATAACAATATATATATAACTACTAAAAGACGATGAGGATATTTATCTTGTGCCAAAAGTATAAAACAATATTCTTGGACATGTTTAACAATACAACATTGTAAAAGAATGTATATGATATTATAATAATTTTAGAAAAGATTTTTTAAATTGCCTGGATGTAAAATTAAACATGTTATCATAATATAATTCCGAGAATAATTCAACCAATCATTATTACACTCGGTAATTTTTTTTTATGTTAGTACAAGTATAATTTAAATAGAAAAAMATTGCAAGTTAAATTAATAAAATCTTTAATTTAAATATATTATAATGATGCATTTAACTGTGATAATCAAACTAGGATTATTATATTATGCTAAAAGTTCTAAAATTAAAATTAAAAAATGATACATTTGTTAATTAAAAATATTTTGTTTGGAAATGTGCTGAAAAAGCTGATGGGCGTATGAATCTAAAATTTAACAAAAACCTAATCAAAGATTTTAAATGTATACCTATTGCAGCAATAATAT